AATTGGGACTACGACAAAAGAAAAGTAACAGTCGACCGAAAACCCTCCTCCATTAATGTCAACCCAAAATACGCAAACAGTAGAGCAAGAATCACAAAGGTTGGAAAGAATGYCACCTTCTTGGCCTCCTTGACCTGGGACACACTCCAATGGCTAGAGTAAGCTATCAACTCCCTTGTCGATTTCCCTCTCACGTGAAAATTCATCAAAGAGAGAAAAGGTGATGACAACATCATTTTGGTGGAGAAGACTAGCAATAGAAGATGTTATCTTGCAAAAGTACATAAGCTAAACAACAATGGATGAAAAAGTTGCATTATGATACCATCCAAGAATCAGAAAACAGGTTGGAGGGCTTTCTCAACCCTTACCAGAGGCTTCCTTGACAAAAGGAAAAAAGATAGTGTGTGCAACCACCCTGCCACGAATAAAGAATCTTATAAAGACGTGGTCTATAGAGCTCCTACAACCATTAATACTCCAACAAACCTGGCACCTCGAAGGACACTAGCAGCACTAAAGAGCCTCTTAATACTGCCAAAAAGATGGATAGGAAGCAAAATCAAACCCCAGACAAACCTGAATTATTTAATTGGAAGCTACACATTGTCATACAGAGGAAGAGTTCTTGGGCCCACTACGAATGGTACTTCTCTTTCGAAATCTTGTCGAAGCTGTACAACTCTTCATTCTACAAAATTCTAAGAGTTCTACAAAGCAACACAAGTGAGCTGTGCTCCATCAATCCCTTCTAACCAAAGGTATCCTCAGATGTGAAAATAAGGAACCAGCAAGATTGTTTTGTCTTCAAGAAGGATAGAAGAAGGTGGACCCTTTGAACTCAAGTTGGATAAGTGGTGTGCTAAAGTATTTAAGAAAGACAAATTCATTCGATCATATGGTGTATGGATAAAAGTCTTCAACCTTCCCCTTTATCTCTGGATCCAAAAGTGATGAACCTCATAGGAGAATGATGCAGTAGTCTGATTGAGAAAGTGCAGAAGGCTACCATACTCCATGACCTAATGGAGATGAAGATTAGAGTGAAAGAGAATCATTTGGGATTCTTACCAGCAGAAATTTAATTCAAGGACACCTGAGCAAAAAGAGTTGGTAAAAGTAAGAATAGACCCATTCTTTTCCACGGGAAACTGTATCGGAAGAATTGCCAGAGTCCATGGATACTTAGGGAAACTTTGCTAGAATCGATGACCGTACAACTGAGGAGTTAGCACACGTTCATCAACAGGCAACCAAAGTAGAACCGTCACGAAAAGGGAAGCAAAATCCATAAAGACTAACCCGCAACCAGATGATGCTGACAACAATCATCAAATGGTGGCACAAAAGTCAAACGGCGCTGGAAACCTTGACCAAGGTACAATTCCTTTCCTCTTTGATGCTTTGATGGACAAAACGAATAGGAAATTGCGAAAAAAACATTTCCACCCTTTAAAAGTTAAGGGTCAGATCTTCTCTCACCAAAAGCAAGATCTTCTCTCACCAAAAGCAAACCACATCTCTACGCACGTGCCACTAACATGATGCAGGCCCAAAAGCTTGTTTCTCTAGCCCTCTCCCAAGCAAATACCCAACCCAAGATGCAGGCCCATCCAAACCTTCTCCTTTATCGCCCATAAACTTGAAAGGCCCACTTAACATTCTTTTCAGAGATATCCCTGTCCAAGCACAAGAACATCCAAGAAGCCCATTTGCATTGACTGAGAACAGGGTACCCAAGCCTCACCAGGTTGATACATTTATGAGCCCACAACAATCTCCTGATAGTCAAAATAGCCTAGCTATCACGAAAGACTTGCATAAACAAATTATCCTTTCTCCCACGCCCATCGCCATCTAAAACTTTGAAACATAAGATATGAAGGAGGAAAAATCCAAAGAAACCCTTTACACCCACTAGCATTCGAAAATATATAGCAGCTTGTCTCCACCATGCACCTAAAACCTAATAGCAAGAAGAAGAAACCTATTAGATTGTCTACAAAAGAACCTACACACAACTATCAGCTACAAAAAGAAACAACTTTCTGTGGGGTTAAATGATGCTTATATGAAGTATCTCTCTTTGTAAGAGGGTTGGGCTCCAGAAAAAAACGAGCCCTGATAACACAAGTCGTCTCCCAAATTAATCCAAACTTAGCGATCCTCCAGGAAACTAAACTCAGACATACTGATCATCTGTCAGTCAAATCTCTTTGGAGTGCACATGGTATCACTGGGCATCTTTAGACACACCAAGCTCAAGGCTATTCTCATCCTCCAGAATGACAATTTCCCTATTAAGGAAGTTATAGAAGGTGTTTTCACTTCTCTTGATTAACTTCTCTATGGCTGATGATTTCTCTTTTTGGGTCTCAATAGTATATGGCCCAACTCGAGCAATCACTAGACCTTTTTTGCAGGAACTCCATGATCTCTCACATCTCTGTCATAATTGCTGGATTTTTTTTTTTTTTGAATGAGAAACAAACCTTGCATTAATATACATGAAAAGAACTGTAGATGTTCAAAAGATACAAATTTTTTAAGGAATGGAAAAGATGAGATGCAAGAAAATAGAGAAGGCGTAAGATAAGATAAACAGCTAAAGCTCTAAAAAGGCTTCCCAAGAAGAAGACATTGTAGTAAAAGAATAGTCCTTAAAACAACACAGAGAGCAATAGGGCCAGGTGCAAAATTGGTAATGGGATCTCGATAAACTCCTGGAATGATAAATAGGCCTCTGATTATTCATTGGCAGATGAGTTCCCTCGTCTGTTTGCTATATGGACGAGGAAGGATTCACTGGTATGTATTTTTGGTGCCGCACCACCTCCTCTTGGGACTACTACTTTCATAGACCTCTCAAAGAAGAGGAGATATCAGAATGGTTGGCCCCATCACAAATATTAAGACCTATTTCTCCAACTTCTTTAGAACACAAATGGCTACAGCAAATGATTCCCAACAACATATTTTTAGAAAATTCTTTTGATGTAACTAACCCTATACAAGTTAGTTAGAGTTTAAGTTGTTAGTCTGTTAAGAGTTAGTTGGCTTAGCTAAACTCTTTAGTCGTAGCCTATTTGCCTATGAATAGGAGACTCTTCTCTAATTTTAAGCATTCCATCCAATAAAACATTTCTTCTCTCATTTGGTTTACACCAAGTTGGTATCAAAGGACCAAAAATCTCTTCCTTTTGCTTGGGCCCGCAGTGGTGTGCTCTCTGCAGGAATGTCTCGGAAGACCTTGAGCACTTGTTGTGGACCTGTCAGTTTGGGCAGGATTTATGGCGTTGTTTCTTTACGTGTTTTGGGATGTCTTGGGTTCGTGCTAGGGAGTGTATGGGCATGTAAGAGGAGGTTCTGTTATACCCTCCCTTTCGTGATAGGAGAAATCTATGGATTATGTATGGGATCTCATTAGAAATAATACGTCTTTATAGGGCTCGGTTTCTAAGGTCTTTTGTAATTATCCGTTAGGCCTTATTCTTTTGGATTGGAGTCCTTTTCTTTAGGGGACTTCCTCTCTCAGGGTTGTCTTTTTGTAGGCCCTCTTTCGTTCTTTCTGTATCTCTTTTCATTTTTCTCAATGAAAGCATTGTTTCTCATAAAATAAAAAATCAAAGCACCAAGAATCTTGGGCTTTTGAAATGGCGGGTAAAAAACTTGTTCCTCCCATGGGAGATTTATCGCTGCCGGAAAAGAGACAAAAGATGCCGCCGTTCTCTCTCCATGATCACAACCACCTGACTGAAGATGGTTGAGGGGGCTGTTGAAAACCTCCAGTGGAATGTGGTAGAGATTCACCAAATATTGAGCGTAATTGTGGATAAGTTGGATTCTCTTCACCTGCACCAAGACCAACCAAGATTGAATCATGGAAGGGAACAGGGGATCAGGATCGACTTTGATGCGCAGCAACCAGCTCCAAGATTACATCAAGAACCCCACCCTATTCCTAGGCGAAATTAGGAACTGCAGGGTGAACAAATCCAAGATTTGCCTCGCCTTGTCCCAAGACAATTTGAAGAACCTGGTTTTATCCCTGGAAGAAATTACGATTGGTAAGGAGACACTACCAACAATCGACGACTTGGTCGTTTTCATCGGCGACAAGATTTCCAGGACGACTCTTCAAGCGACGAAGACGAGTTGCAGATTTGGGGAAATGGCAAGAGGCAGAATAGGCGCAACAACCACTACCACATAGAACAAAATGAGTACAAAATGAAAATTGATCTACCTAGATTCAATGGGAAAATGGATATCGAAGGATTTCTAGAATGGATAAAAAACGTCGAAAGTTTCTTTAGTTATATGAGTACGCCGGATGACAAAAAGGTCAAGCTAGTCGCTTTCAAATTGAAAAGTGGAGCATCGGCGTGGTGGGAGCAGCTTGAAACAAACCACCAACGCTTTGGCAAGGCTCCTATCCGTACATGGGAGAAAATGAAAAAACTAATGAGAGCTAAATTTTTTCCTATTAACTATGAACAGATATTATASAATCAGTATCAAAGTTGCAAACGGGGGACTCGATCCATTGCAGAATATATGGAGGAATTTTGCTGCCTGGGCGCAAGGACTAATCTGGGTGAAAATGAACAATACCAGGTAGCAAGATTTATTAGTGGCTTGCATGCAGACATTAAAGAAAAACTTCAACTACAACCGATTGGATATTTGAGTGAAGCAATTGCAACGGCCGTGAATGTGGAAGATCAACAAGCGAACAAGTTTTTTTTTTTTTTGTTTTTTGAACAAGAAACAAACTTCTCATTGAATTAATGAAAAGGAATGACAATGTTCAAAGATACAAACTCTCGAAAGAGTGAAAATAAAAGAAAATTACAAGTGAATGGAAAAGAACAAGATAATCTTAAACATTAAGAGATAAGGTAAAAGCTCCCCAATTGAAACAAATAAGTGAGGGAGAAAAGTTTTTGAACAAAGGTGATAAAGAGCTCCACTGTGAGGATTTGAATTTAGCCAAACTAAAACGATCCAGTGGAGATTTGCGACGATCCTTAAAAATTCTGAGATTTCTTTCGTACCAAAGCTCGTAGAGCAAGGCTTTGACACCATTTGACCACAGCAAGCTACTTTGAGAAGATAGAATTGGGCCTAGGAGTAATTGAAGGATATTATCCACTGCTATGTCGCTGAAAACCCAGGAGAGATTGAACTCTTTAAATAACAAGAACCAGCAGTGCAATGCGTAAGGACATCGGAATCAACAAGCGAACAAGTTCAAATTTCAATATCAAAGGAAGAATGCAGGTGATGGACAGACAGTACCTTCAAGAAAGGATCACTGTCTTATGACAAATCATCAATCCAAGCTACATCTTCGAGTTCTAAGAACATGCTCAAAGACCTTATCTCCAAACAGGCCCCCCAGCCACCTCTCTCGTTTGAGTTAATTTGGAATGAGAAATATCCCAAAAAAGTCCAATTTCTTTTATTGAAACTCAATTATCAGGCTATAAATACACAAGATAAACTACAAAGAAGACTCCCCTCTCTAACCATCTCTCCCAGTTGTTGCGTTATGTGTTTGAATGAAGCGGAATCATAAGATCACCTAATTGTTTCTTGCGGATTTGCTAGCAGGTTTTGGAATTTCTTGGTAGAGACTTTTGGATGGCAGACTCCTATTCAAGTGAACATCACTGGCCATCTCCAAGCCTCTTTTGAGGGACATTCATTCACAAAAGATAAAGAGATCTTATGGTCTTTGCTTATTAGAGCCTTTATTTGGTTTTTATGGAGGGAAAGGAACAATACATCTTTTAATGACGAATCCCAATCCTACAGCAACTTCTTAAATGGTCTTGGTAATGGCTCTCCATTGGCGTAAATGTCACTTTACTTCATTTTCTAACTACATTTTAAATGACACCTTGATAAATTGGAGGGCATTTTTGTAACTCATCTTCATGGGTCCCTTCTCTACTTTGTATTTTCATACTATCAATGAAATAGGTATCTCTATTCTCTCATTAAAAAAAATAATAATAATATAAGCAAAACGCATGGAGTGGTTTGTAATTAACTCTTTAAAAATGAATTTTCTATACATGCAAATATCCAGTGCGTGAAAGAATTATGTATGTTTGCCCTTGTAAATTACAAGCAGGGGCTTTTGTGAGGCCAATCATAACAATAAGGTGAGCAATTCCTTTTAAACAATTCACGAACTAATCAATCAATATTAAACTTAGATGGCTTAGTGATGTTTAGATACAGCATAATAATATGCATACCATCGTGGTTGTAGTGTTGGAAGGACGGAAAAGGTGAAAGATGGTCCTTTTCCGAACAAGCAACGTCAACGAGTTGATCAGCGATTCTTTTCTGCTCAAGTATCTATGTTATAGTCAAGGAAGCATCATAAGTTCCCAAATTGTATAAAATTTGCAAATAATAGTAAAAAAAAAAAATTAAACAAACGTTGGATCTCCATGAAGAATTTACCTTTCTCCGCTTCAAACTTTGTTCTCTATTAGGATCGCTTGAACCATTGTTCTTGGAACAGCGATGAGAAAGTGAACCTTTCTTCTCCATATCTCTTGGATTTCAAAAAGCTAGGATTTCACCCGTATTTGATCGTGCAATTGGGTAACCCTACAAAACTTCTAAGTAGAACATAGACCATATATAAGAAGATCAAAATGCATGGATGAGGCTAAAAAACCTTGCATGTAATTGAACAAAAAATGTGCATTCTGTTTTTTTTTTCTTGCACTATATTGCAATCGATTCAGCCTAATCTGTTCTTTTTCTTGCAATGCCAAAATCAGCAACAAGCCATGAAAGCACGAGTTCAAAGTCATTGAATAGCACTAAGATGTTTTAAATGGCTTGAAATAAATCAAAAGAGTAGAATCAAAACAAGAAAAATGCGAGGCCACTATTTAACATTCTGTATTTTTTTTCTTGCAATGCAAAAATCAAGAAACAAGTCAGAAAAGCACAAGTTCAAAGTCATTTAATAACACTAAAATGTTCAAAATGGGTTAGAATAAACCAAAAAAGTCCAAGTAAAACACGAAAAATGTGAGACCAGTGACTTTTTAGCATTCTGTTTTTTTTTCTTGCAATGCCAAAATCAATCCAAAAAAAATCAAGCCAGGAAGAATAAAACTCAAACTACAAACCTGAAAACACTTGGAAGAAGAAGAAAATTAAAGCAACGAAGAAAATTTAAAACAGTGTTCGGCTTAAGTTACGGAGTAAGAACGCAGTTTGAAGAGCTGTCAGAGCTTGCCGCCGTTGCTTGAATCAAGCTCGCTGGAGTTCGCCACTGTTGACTACTCGTTTCGCCGTTGTTCGCGACTGGGAGATTTGGCGATTGTTGCCGGACATACGCTGTGATCGTCGCCTGAGATTTTGCCGCCGTCGCCTCTGTCCGTCTAGAAGTCCGCCACCGTAAGTCACCGGAAGCGATGGAAGGAGGTAAAATGGGTCGCCGGAAGAAAGGGGTCGTTTGGAGGAGGCGTGCGTGCGTGATGGAGAGGGAGGGTGGAAAGTTTTGGGGTTTCACGTGATGGAGGTTTCAATTTTGAGAAGATTTAGGAATTTTTTTAAAAGGACAATAAAGTATTTTCACCACTAACACTCCAATCGTTGTATGAATCAAAATCTAATCTCAACGATATTTAACGCACCAATCGTTATATGAATCAAAATCTAATATCAACAATATTTAACTAAAGGTTTCAAATCTTTGCTCTTGCATGTTGTCTAAATAAATATATATATAATATTCAAAAAAAATCTTTAAATTTTGATTACTAATTATTCCATCAATTTTGTGGGGATGCTTTTTTAATAATATATTTTCGTAAAATTTATTAAAAAATATATCATTAACAAAAAAGAATAATACTTGAAAATAGATAAAACACATTAGCATTTGATCTTCTCTTAGAGACGATCTAATGATGTGGCACTCCATTGACATTACGTCTAATTTTTAAAAAACTTTAAATTGTAATCGGACGACTATCTTGATACACACGAAAGCAGTCACTAATAAGGTTTGATGGTGTGGTGGACTCTGAGTCCATTGTGATCCTTGCATGTGCGGGTTCGTATCATTTGGAAATTTTTTTAATAATGCTTTATTAAAAACTTATTCCAAATATATATCAACCCCAAATTATTTCCAAGGATAATGTTTGAGAATTATAGGTCGTCTCTCCACATCACAATGTTCGAGTTGCATGGTGCCTTGCGCCATGTTTTTTTTTTTTAATTATGGTACGTCGTCTCTTGAAGAAACGACATATATCAATTGTATTAAACTACCACTATGGTATAGGGGTTGTGTATCTGGTTTAATAGCTACATGTCTTAGGTTCAAGTCTCTGCTACAACCACTAAACCAGAGTGATAGATTAATACGATTTTAGCATATGTCGTCTCTGAACATGCCATAATTGAAAAAAAAAACACTCACACACACACACAACGCCAGCAAGGTGCCATGCAACTCAAAAATTATGATGTGCCAGAGGTCGAATGACCTATAATTTTCCAAACATTATTCTGGAAATAGTTTGGGAACTGATATATATTTGAAATAAGTTTGTAATAAAGCATTATTAAAAAAACATTCCTCGTATTATCCTCTTCAAGGATACTCAAACGCAGATTGGGCTTCCGACCCTGATGATAGAAAATCAACATCCGGATTTTGCATTTACTTAGGTAATAATCCTATATCATGGGGATCTAAGAAACAAGCAATAATTTCACGTTCAAGCACAGAAGCAGAATAYCGTGCTCTTGCCCTTGCTGCCTCAGAATTGATTTGGTTGAAAACATTGTTCTCGGAGTTGAGAATTCCGATCCCTACTCCATCGATTCTCTGGTGTGATAATCTTAGCTCAGTCCATCTCAATGCCAATCCGATTATCCATTCACGAACGAAGCACGTAGAAATTGATATCTACTTCATTCGAGATCTTGTGATTTATGGCAAACTTCGTGTACAACATCTTCCCTCTCTTGCGCAAATCTGCGGACGCCCTCACAAAGCCTTTATCATCGGCACGATTTCAGATTTTGAAAATCAAGCTCAATGTCTAGTTAAAACCAATCACTAAAATTGGGTTTCAGTTCTGTTGTTTGTAACATATGGGCCTAATTTATAATTCTGTTAATGGGCCTAGTACAAATACACTTTCCTATAAATAGCCCATGACTTATTTTGTAAATGATGATGAATTCAAGATAATACAAACAGAATTCATTCCAATTATTGATATTTTGAAAAACTACACGTGAAAATGAAATTACTTATCCCGTCAAATCAACTTAATAAATTAAAACTATTTATTATGTCTTTTTATTATTGTGCCACATTTTGGTATCTATTTGTTTTTTTTTCCATTTTTTTAAGAAATACAAGGTCTCCTTATGGAAGAACAATTTTCCTCAAAGTAACAGACATAAGCCAACACGAGTATCATTAAAAAAAAAAGTATTTGAATTTGAATATCCAACCTCGCGTATTTTGTACCAAAAAAATCACACTAAAACAAGATAACTAAAAAAACTTGCAAGAATAATTATAAACCCTGCTAGGTGGTTTGATAGGGTTTGAAATTAAAACCAATTTAATTTCAAATTTATCATACTCTGTCGTACACGYATGTAATATTTAATACAATTTATTGTTTGATAAGAAGTTATTGGTTTTTTATTTTATTTATTTTGTTTATTTAATACAGTTTACTGTTTGATAAGAAGTTATTGGTTTTTTATTTTATTTATTTTGTTTTTTACATTTCGATTTGCATGTCTTCTTTATCAAAATTTATTTCTTCTAGCTCAATTTTGATAACAAGGTAAACAAAATTTATTTCTTCTATTTCAAATTTGATAACAAGGTCCAAAAAAATAAAAGAGATGGTAGTCTTGTTTAAAATACCTTTTGAGTTTTTCTAAAGCATTATAGTAATTATTTTTACAACTGAACTTAGTTATTGAGTTTTACTATATATTTGTTTACTTTAATTCCTATGTTTTTCTCTTATCACGGACCGTGTATTTTTTTAGAAATACCAAGGAGTAGGAGTCGTGATAATAAGAAAGTAAATAAATGGACAAATAACTAGCAAATTTTGACTAAGGGCTGAAGTTATTTTTAATTATAATACAAATATTAATTATTTTGTTTGAAATTTAAAATAATTTGACTTTAAGTTTTATGATACATCTAACATTTTTAAACAATTTCATTGAACAATTTTAATTTATTGAGTTGATTTGATAAAATAATGTAGCTAACAATACTATTTTACATTAAAATATTATATTAGTATTAACATAGTATAATGCTAATTACAAGAGCATAATAATAAAATATTATATTATATTATATTTTTATGTATATTTAAATAATAAATTTTAATTTGAATGATCTGAAATCTATTCAATTTCAAAAGCAATTAGAAATTTGAAATAATTAACCTCTTTAAGGAGTATTGAAATCATTCTTTTACCAATTTCAAGTCCCAACCGGAGTAATTTTAAGTTTCCACTTACCGCAAAAGTCCCAAGAAATAAATTTAATTACATTAATTTAAAATTATTTATTGAACGAGGAATGAAAGTTATCCGGTGAGGTTTTATAGATTACAATAACGTGTTTTATCAAGTTAAACAATTTATTACCTGTCCAAAAAAAAAAAAAATTGAAACAAGATAATAAAAAAAAAATGTTGAACAGTTCCAACTAGAGATGCCCCTGTAAAAAAGTGGTCAGTCCACCCACTGGACGCGATTAGGGGGAGAAGAAACCCCCGAAAAAGAATAGCCTCGAGGTCTGGAGCTCCCAAATTAAAAGGTTGACAGAGCCAAGGGGGCCTCTGTAACTTGCTGTTGCTGGCATGGCTTTCCAAGGGAAGAAGCTCATCAACAAGCCCGATGGTCAGTTTCCTGATCGGCATTGTTTATCCAGCTGATATTTTCCCTTCCAATATCTATCTATCACCGGCTTCGTCCGTTTGACTTTCTGTTTGTTTCCTCACATAGTATTGAGAAAGGATAACCGAAGAAGATTCTACTTGTCTATATCCGCCGCTATGTTCCACAGTTTTACCTATTTGTATTCTCTATCTATGCTTCATCTCGAATTATAATTGCATATCAAATATATACTCTGGAAGAAGCAGATAGAAAATAAAATGTGTTAACCGACCTCTAATCTACTGGCTTACACATACTATTAGTTTGCGAGGACCTGAAATTCTATTAACTTATTTCTCATCATCAGTCCTTTTTTGGGGTTCCGTCATCCGATCAACAAAGGTAGAACGCCATCCTTCTTCCATTAGCTCCACACCTGTATTCGATGAAAGGGCTGAGACGATGTTGCAGTCCTATACATGCACGCAAATAAACGAAAGAATAAGAATGTTAGAAAGATACGCTAGAGTTATTTTTTATTTTTCTATTGCTTTCTGTTTGCTTCACCTGGTTGTGATTATAGAGATGTCTCTTGCTTATTTAAGTTTTACCCGCTTTTAAGAATTTTTATTTTTTTCTCGAGCTGTGCCATCTTCTATTGTTTTCTTCCGAAATATTAAGCATCATTATATTTCTGGAACTTCAGAGATTGTTCTCTAGATCCAATGTCAAACCTCTGGAGTTTTTGGAATTCTCGATTTGGTTAGCATAAATATTGGCCTTTTTTTAATTTAATTTTTTTAACGAGAAACGAACTTTTCATTGATAATATGAAAAGGAAGAAAAAAGTTCAAGGATACAAACTCCCAGAGGAAGCGAAAAAAGAATAAGAAAAACAACCAAAACATAGAAACCAAAAACCCATGAAATACATGAGATATGAAGCCCAAGAATAGATGCTAAAAAACTTTCATCAATAAAACTTGTCAATTCAAAAGGATTGACTGCTGAGGAGGAAACCAAAACAATCCTTTTAACACAAACTGATCGCCAAAATGGAGAAGTAAAGAATCTGAAACCTCCCTTCCACCAAGAGAAGACAAGAAAACTATAATATCTCAACCCTCAAAACTGCTGCAAAGCGGAACCAACAAAAAACCTGTTGCCCATAATTAAAGCCTACCTATTCATTGATTGGAACTAGGGTAAAGGCTACATGCCCATGGAATCAAATTTCCAAGATTTAGAGATTTTCATCTCCTCTATCAAATTTATTTTGGAGAACAGCTAGATTGGATCTTGGAATGATAGTTGGAGAGGGAAGATTTCTTAGTATATGCTTTTCCCTGTCTTTAGACTCTATAGAGTCTATGAAATGACGAGAATTGAACTATAGCTTCTTTTTCTCCTCTCTCATATTTTATTTATTTCATGAATATTTATTTCTTAACCTTATTAGATGTGCTGAAAGAGCAGGGACCCATCCCTTACATTTCCCTTTTTCCCCCTCTCCAATGGAATATTTCTTCTTATAAAAGAAAATTAAGCAACACAATGTTATATAATAAAGATATAAGTGGACGTATGATATTTCACTTCACCTATTCGAGGAGCAGACATATGAAACTTTTCCTTGATTAGCAAGGCTACTTTTAACTGTTTATGTTACATGGATACATATCAGATGTGGTGACAGAATTTATTGAAGGTTTGGTGGAAACATATTCTGGATTACAGTACTTGGATGGTTTTCCTAAGGTAATTATGTTTGTCTACCCTATATTCCATTGGAAATGGTATTTGGTAATAGCAAGACTAATTTTGACTTGAGTAAAAAAAAAGTAAAAATAAAAGACTAATTTTGACTAGTCCTTCTATGGTAATACAGGTGAAAGTTGTTTTACGAGCTGATGTTTCAGGTGCAACATACAACAAAGTTGCCATAATATCAGGTTTGTATTTCTAAATACTAATAGTGTATACTTTTTTCTTATATGAAATAACATTCACCGATTAATTGAAAGAATAAAAACGGAGGAGAAAGTATTCCAAGCTGAAGAGAACTAAGGTCAAAATCTTTCCAAGTTGTAATGATTGAGTCAAGTCTATAGTTGAAAAAACCATTATTATGGGCAATGCGGTTAAAATTATACTTCCAAAAATTTGGTTAAAAAGAAACCAAATAATCTTTGAAGACAAGAGAAGGGATTGGCTTGACTGTTTCTGATTAACTAAGTTCAAAGTATCTCGATGGTGTTCGATTTCTCATCTTTTTAAGGACTACTCTGTTAGCATTATTTGTTCTTCATGGGAAGCTTTTGTTTTTAGATAGTTTTACTGTTTTATTTATTTTTCTCACTCCTACAGAAGTTTGTATCTTTTAGCACTTTTGTAATTTTTCATTAATCAATGAAAAGTTCATTTCTTGTAAAAAAAAAAGAAGGATTGACTTTTGTTGTGGTGAGCAAAATTTTATTCCACCTTTCAAACTTCAAATAAAGTCTATTTCACGAAAGGTTAGGGCCTTGCTTCATCATCTTCTTCCCTTGTATCGTTTACGAGATGCAAAATGATTTGGATCCAAGGGAGGAGGGCATGTTGCTAGGCCTATTTATTTATTATTATTATTGTTATTTTTTTATAGCTTTTGACAACCATCAAATCTCAAGTTAAAGAAATCGTAGGGACAGAGGAGAGAGAAAGAGCACGAGAAAGAATATCTTTTCCAAATCTCCTCTCTGTTACCAAGGATTATTTCTTTTTATCCAAGCAAATGAAACTTTTATAATGAAACATGGAAGTACATTTACTGTCTCTTAATATAATTATTTATCGCTATGATACTAATTTGCTTATTCTTCATTTCATGATACAGGTGGTGGAAGTGGACATGAGCCAGCACATGCTGGATTTGTTGGGGAAGGAATGCTGACAGCAGCTATTTGTGGTGATGTTTTTGCCTCTCCACCGGTTGATTCGATTCTGGCTGTATGTTTCTTGGCTATTTAATTGCATGTATTAGCATTTTTCTGCCATCATGTTATTATTTAGCATGACTTTGATTTAAAGTAATTAAACTTCAGGGAATTCGAGCTGTAACTGGACCTATGGGATGTCTTCTCATCGTGAAGGTCTGAAATGACAAACAAACTGATTTTTTTATTTTTGGAATCATTCTTTGAATATATATCACTATCTTGTGCCCTCACTCAGAAATCTTGTTGCGTAATTGTGAACATTTTCGCTTTGCACCTGAATACGAATTGCTTTGATATAAATGTTCATAGAATTATACTGGTGATCGTTTGAATTTTGGTTTGGCTGCTGAGCAAGCAAAATCGGAAGGATATAAAGTAGAGGTAAATTGTCCCATTTTTCTTCTAATGTAGTAAAACATGGTAATAAAATTTTTAGTAACCATTTTTGTTTGACCTCAAAGACTGTTATTGTTGGAGACGATTGTGCTTTGCCTCCACCTAGAGGTATAGCTGGCCGTAGAGGTTTGGCCGGGACTGTACTTGTTCACAAGGTTGGCTCTCTCTCTCATATATATTATATATAGTTTGGAATCATTCCCATGTAGGTTAATGGTAGCAAGATTAAGAAATAATTCCCTTTTTACTTTAAATGTTCAAGTAAAATAGCCTGAGCAAAGATATGAAATATCTCATTAGTTTTTCCTTTTGGCCCTGATTAGAATTGTGAAGAATAAAATAATATATTTCTCCTTTGTAAACGTAATACAAGGTCGTTTTTTTTTTTGCTCGAACAAGATACGAACTTTTCATTCACAATGAAAAGGATCAAAATTGTCCAAAAGATACAAACCTTGAAGGAGTGAAAAAACATAAAAAAAAAAGTAATATATAAGTAACAAAGAAACAAAAGCTGAAACTATTGAGGAGTTACAAAAGCCTCCCAATTAGAACAAATCATAGAAGGAGAGTAATTTGCAAATAAGTGAGAAAGAGTACACCATTGAGAAGCTTTGAGTATATGGTCTTCTTATATGGAAGAAAAAAGCTACTTATAGGGAAAACTGATGTAGGGTTATTCATGTAAATGAGACTTTTCTTTTATTTGGGCTAAACTTATCATTAGGATATTACCATAGAAAGAAATGGCAGCTTTTTAAAGCAGTCAGATAATTAACGGTTATGAATTAGTTTAACTGTGAGGGGTTTTTTTCTTTTTTTGGAAAAGAAACAGATTTCATTAATGTAATGAAATGGAAAAGGAATACAAAAGGGGAAGATCCCAAACCAAGGGAGTTACAAAAAAGCTCTCAAGTTGGTTAAAAGAGAAACAAAGCTATAGTGTTTAAAGATAGGAGAACATTTGCACCAAGATACAACCATAGACACTATAGCTTCAAAAACGATGCCAACAGAAAGCTCCTTTCCTAAGAAGATCCGGCGATTCCTTTCTAACCATGTCGACCAGAGCAGCGCCCTAACAAAATGCTTCCATAGGATTCCTGCTTCACTGGTGAAAGGGTGCTCCAGAAGAGTGGATGCTAGGAGAGAACAAAGATCCGTGTGTAGGACTATAGGCCAATCGAAGGATGAAAGAATAGAGGCCCATAGCTTTGCTGTGTATTCACAGGAAACAAAAGTGTGGCCCAAGGATTCTTCTTGTTTTTTACAAAGCACACACCACTGGGGTGAAAGACACATATGCTGCAACTTCTTTTGAAGCTTGTCATGGGTATTAAGGGCATTCCTGTTGACCTCCCATAAAAAGACTTTGATCTTTTTTGGGTAATGATCCTTCCAAATCGATTTGTAGAGCATAGTCTCCTCATGAGTAGTTTGTGAGATTTGTAGTTATTGTAGAAGGGAGTTGACGAAGAAAAGGCCAGATGGTTCCAATTTCCAGACAATTCTATCACATCCCTGATTGATGTGGATGGGAGACAGCAGGAGATGGAGCTCTAAGCACTCATGGATTTCTGCATCTTTGAGATTCCGTCTAAAACAGAGGTCCCATGATTTTGTAGTTATCGACCACATCGCCTTCACCAAGGCATCTTTGCAGGAGTGTAAAGCAAATAGGAGGGGGAAGACAGTACATAGAGGACCGGGGGCCAGCCATCCATCTTTCCAAAAGAGAACTTTAGATCCATCACCTATCTTGAAGCAGCTTCTGTCCAGAACATGTTGCTTTTGTTTTAATATAGATTTCTAGGGACCATGGGCAGAAGCAAGAGAATGGTGAAGGGAGCTTTTGTGCCTATTGAGGGGCCCATATTTGGCTTCAATGACTTGCCTCAAAAGGGCCGATTCTTCTGTATGATACCTCCAGATCCATTTTGCTAATAGAGCTTTATTCTTTTCCTTGATTTTGGAGATGCCGAGGCCTCCATCCTCAATGGGATGAGTGATCTTATCCCATCGCACCAGGTTTTGCCCTTGTTTGTTGCTACTCCCTTTCCAAAAAAAATTCCTCATGACTTTCTCAACCTCGTTAGCGACCTGTGTTGGGATGGAGAATAAAGAGAGGTAATAAATTGGGAGGTTGGATAAGGTAGCTTGTAGAAGAGTAAGGCGACCACCTTTAGAACTAAAGGAGCTTTCCCAAGAGTTGAGCTTTTTCTTCATTTTTTCAAGGATGGGGTCCCAAAAAGAAGCTGATTTAGACTTACCATTTAGACTTACCATTTAGGGGGAGACCTAGGTAAGAATTTGGCCAAGTTCCTTTTTTGTAGGCAAAACGGTTGGACAAGAGATCCAATTATGTTTCCATCAAGTTGATACCCAGCAATTCAGTCTTTTGTAGATTAGAATTCAGTCCTGATGCTTCTTCAAAGGTTTGGATGGTACAAAAGAGATTTTTAAGATGGTCACTGTCCGGTGATGAGAAAAAGATAGCGTTGGTTCTTTTTTTACAAGAAACAACTTTTCATTGATATATGAAAAGGAAAAATATTAAGGATACAAGCTCCTAGGCAGCGAAAGAAAAAGAAAAAACAAAATTAGATAATGCCGAGCTCATTGAGGAGCAATACAAACTCAATGGAAATGAGAAACCAAAAATCACTTGTGAAGGGACCCAAAAACAAAAAAGACGATCTTCAATCTTCCTTAGAACACCCATATAATGAATTTGGAGGAGTAACTACTGATAATGAACCAAAGCTCCAAACGATGCAACAAAATCCAACAAAGCAACCAAAAATCTTCACATGACACCATCTTCATCAGACTCACTTTAACTGTGAGGTTATTGGTTTAACTGTCAGCCTTATGATTTAATTAGAGCCCTTACCTATCTTTGAAGCTCTAAAAGGACTTGGTAACAATAAGGCCCCGAGTCTAGACGAGTTTCCGGCTGAATTTTTTCTGAAATTCTGGAATCAATGGAAGTCTGATTTCAAAAGATTCTTTGTTGAGCAGAGCTCCATAGAAACGGTCATTTGAATGAGTGAATAAAGGAAAACTTTATATTCTTGGTTCCAAAGAAAGACAAAGTGTCTTTTGTGAAAGACTTTCATCCCATAAGTCTCACTATGACTACTTACAAGAATCTAGCCAAAGTCTTAGCTGAAAGWCTCAACAAAGTCATTTCTTCGACCGTTTCTCGAAATCAAAGTGCATCTTTGCAAGGTAGACAGATGCTTGACCCTATCTTTATAGCCAATGAGATTCTGGAAGAATATAGGTTTCGGAAGAAGGGAGGTTGGATCTTAAAGCTTGATTTAGAAAAAGCTTTTGACAAGGTCGATTGGAGTTTCGTTTTGGAAGTTCTTCGGCATAAAGGTTTTGGTTGCAAATGGATAGAGTGGATTGAAGGCTGTATTGTAAACAATAATTTCTCCATTTTCATTAATGGAAGACCAAGGGGTAGGATCAAAGCTTCTCGAGGATTAAGGATAGGGTAAAAATTTCGTATCTTGTTCAAAAAAAAAAAAAAATCACCTGCTAATACACTTCTGTCGTTCCTCTATTATGATGTTATACTGTGTTATTGAGTCTCAATAATTACATTAAGCGACGAACTGATGGATTTACAGTTTTGCAAGTACACAGTCAGGAACTGCTATTTCTTTTGCTTATATGATTTTTCCATGAATTGTGTGGACAGGTTGCTGGAGCTGCTGCTGCTGCAGGGCTTTCTCTTTCAGATGTTGCAATGGAAGCGAAACATGCGGCTGAAATGATTGGAACAATGGGAGTTGCATTGTCAGTTTGCACATTGCCTGGCCAGGTTACATCAGATCGTTTGGGCCCAGGGAAGATGGAGCTTGGTCTTGGAATTGTAGGTTACTATTTGAGTTATCTTATCTTTAAAGATAAAATACTTCTGTGCTTATTCTGCATGCTAACGTTCACTTTCCTAATAAAAATGACCGAGGACACAATTCACAGAACTAAGATTCTTGGGTCTGCTGATCAACTTTTTCTTTCTTCACTTCAGATCAATTTACTTGGGCTGAACATATTTTGTTTTTGTTAATTAAGATTATTATTATTATTTATAATTTCTCATGTTTAAGTCTAGAAATCTGATATGTTTCAGCATGGTGAACCTGGTGCTGCTGTGGCTGACCTTCAGCCTGTTGATGTGATAGTATCTCATGTTCTTAAGCAAATATTATCACCGGTATGCTGGTAGTTTGGTCAAAATTTTCTCAGTCCATGCATTCTTAGCTTGTTGAATGGAAAAAGAAGTTTTTGTGCTTGATTATATTTGCTTATCAAAATTGGAAGAAAACATTTAACGAGGTACACAAGCATAAATAGGAACGAGACACCTGATCTTGCAGGACATTCAAGTATAATATATCTTTCTGAATGGTTTTTCCACTTCTCCTTGGGACATGCTATATTTCTCGAGAACTTCTGAGAACTTCACCCCTTCATCAACATCCTCTTTGCTCCCCCTTCTCCATTACTGTAGGCAATATTTTGATAAAAATTTATATTTTTTCAAAATGCAAATAAATTGGAGATAGTTCACCTTTGCTGCTATGTTTTTCGAAACTCCGTTTCTCAACTTTTAGAGAAAAATTCCTACTATATTCCATTTTCCAGATAGTTCACCTTTGCTTAACAACCTACCATCTTCCATTTTCATTAGGGCTTTGTCAATCATGAAAGGATTGAGGGAGAAACCGTCTTTTACGGCCTTTGAGATATCCTTTCAATCATCATGAGCACAATATTTCGAAACTACCATCATATTTCCTCAATTTGTTTCCAGTACATCTACTTCTTTTTTAACCCATTGAGCTAGGTTAAACTCTCTATTCTCTGGCCATTCCTTTTCGATAGCTTGTGTCTCATTAACTTTTGCAACATATGTCATGTTTTAAATCCCTTTAGTCAAATCAGCATACAATCTTCTGTTCCTCAGCAAATTCGTCTTCTGCTTTTCCTCACTTTTTATATTATTTGTCATCTGATCTTTCTTAATCCTTTCCTTGACCACCACTGCACTTGGCCTTTTATTCCTCAAGAGCTTCTGAATCTGTTCTTCCATATTCCTCACAGAGAAGGTTTTCAGCATATTCAAAAAACCCATCCATCCATTTTTGTTAGAACCATCAGGAACTAGGACATTCTTCCTTTCCCCGGTAGTGGGCCATATCACCCATTCCATAAACCACGAATGATTGGTTCTGAGTTTTTTTTTTATAAGAAACAATTTCATTGATGAGTGAAATTACAAAAGAGGGAGATGTGTATCCCAATAAACCAAAGGAGTTACATGAGACTTCTCCAGTTGGTCAAAAGAGAAACCATACTATAAGAGTCAAATACTTTAGATGCTTTACGTCCAGACATAGCAAGAAAAATGATATTGTCAAAAAGTCTAGCTAATTGTTTATGTGGCAGACATTCTTAATTTGAAAATGGAACTTTTTTTTTTCATACGAACTTCTCATTGAAATAATGAAAAGGAACAAAATTGTTCAAAAGATACAAACTCTCGAAAGAGCGAAAACTTAAATTGAACTGGGAGTTGTAACAACTTAAATTTATGATTCTCAAGCCATAAAGATTGGAAAGGATAAAGGGGCACCCACATTTTCTACTCGAGCATAAAATTTTCATTCTCAACCCAAATGCAAAAGAACTTGTTATCAATTTGGCAACTACTAATTTCCATTTCACAAAAGAATCTGTAACTGTACTACAAATCAACCTCAGATAAACCAAGCAAAGATTGTACCAGCTATGATTGATTACTTCAACCAAACTTCATCTCTGGGAGAATAGGGAGGATAGAGAAGAGAGCATACTTACCTTTTTCTTTTTTAGCTTTTCCTTTAAAAAACCACCTCTGAAAGATTGTCTTAGAAATGTGAATGTTGCTCCTAAAGCTTCCAAAGTCTTCCAGAAACATGTGATCAATATTGTCAGACTATCCAATCAATCCTAGAAGTATAAATAACCTGTGAAAATCATGAGTTGATGCTCTGAGTTTCTTGATCGTTTGAGCATGTTCTTTTTTTTTTTTGAACAAGAAACAACTTTTCATTGATATATGAAAAGGAGAAAAAGGAATTTGATCAGGCCGTTTGAGCATGAACAAGAAACAACTTTTCGTTTGAGCATGTTATGGAAGGAATTTATCAGGCCGTTTTTTTCCTGTTCTTTTCCATTTGGCTTAAGGGTTTGTAGCAATGGTTTTCAAGCTTCTGTGGTTTTGGTTTAGGCGAGTCTTGGCCGCTGGTGTTTTTGTTTTTGCTAGCTTGGGAAAGGAGGCATCTGTCAAGTTATTATTCATTTGTTTCGTCGTCCAGAGAATCTTGCTCATTGCTATTGGTTATTGTTCTTTTTAGCACCTTAGTCTGCGGCTCGACGGTTGATTTGGTTTTCTTTTAGCAGGCGGTCTTCTTTGATTTTGCATATTTCGTAGCTGAAAGCTTTTCAAGCCTATATTTTTTTCTTCAGATTTTTGTTATTTCTTTGGCTTTTGTCTTCTTGGTGTTACTTGGTAGTTTATATTTGGTGGTCTTGGTCATTGGTTCTTTGTTCCTTGTTGGTTATTTTTTCTTTACGCTTACTTTGGAAGTTTGTGTCCTTGAACATTTTTCTTTCTGTTCATATTATCAATGAAAAGCTTGTTCGTTGTTAGAAAAAAAGAGATCGAATTAACTTTTATGACTAGTTGCTGTGTTCTATTTTACTGCCTTTCTTGTTCTAAAATAATTTTGTATTATGTGCAGGAAACTAACTATGTTCCAATAACACGAGGTAATAGAGTGGTGCTATTGGTTAATGGGTAGGTCAACAGATTTTATCCATTATTTTTAGTTTTTGCCTCCTAGTTTTGATCACCACCATCATGTTATTGGGAATTTTAATTTTTTGTCAATATGACACAAATGGTTGCTTCTCTGAGCTTTATATATTTATGTGAAATTTAAGTGTTATCACCATGCAGAAACTTTGGTCTCAGTGAGCCAAAATTGTACTGGTGGAGAAACATAAATTTTTATTTAAAAACGGTTACAAGTATTGAGGATGGGCTGTATTCTAGTTAAAATAAATTGCAGAATGGTACATCAAAGGGAGGGTGCACGAGAAATTATTAGCTCAAAGACAAATTTCTCTCCCATAAAGTATCAAAATCTTCAACAACGTGATAGATTTTTTGGCAGATTTGATAATCCAATAAATAGCTGAAATTTCATTTCCCAAATCATTGAACACTTTTCTTGTTCACAAAACAAAAAAATAACTTTTAATTGATATATGAAAAGGAGAAAAAGTTTAAGGATACAAACTTCGGAGAGGGTGAGAGAAAAAGAAAAAATAAGAAAGAGAACAGAAAAGAGACTTAACAAGGAGCATTACAGACAAAATAAGAACAATAAAAACCAAAGACCATGACATAAGAGACCAAAAAGCTGCATAGACGAGTCTTGGATCATAAGAGAAACTGAAGCCCTTCAAAAAACTAATCTTAAGCACCAAAGGAATTGAAAATCTACGTTGACGAAGAGGGAACCGAAGGTGGAGAATCTTCTAAGCCAATCTTCAATTTCTTCCATTCCTTCAAATAATCTTTAGTAATTTTTATTTATTTTTAATTTTTTGATAAGAAACAATTTCATTGATGGATGAAATTACAAAGAAAGGGGATCCCACAATGGAGCTACAAGAAACTTCTCCAATTGGTTAACAGAAAGTTCATACTATATGAATGAAAATAGGGGGATGTTTTACACCAAGACATAGCATGAAAAGTAATGTTGTCAAAAATACTGATGAAAGGCATCTCTTTGTCTAGAAAGAGTCTGTGATTTCTTTCATTCCAAAAAGTCCATAGAAAGGCTTGCATGAAGTGTTTCCACATAATTCCTTTGGCTTGGCCCACTAGAACAGATGTGAGAAGATCTTGGATGTCAATGGGGAGAGCTACTGTCCATTCAAAAGCTTGGAGGATCAGGTTCCAAAAATCTGTGGCCAGAGAGCAAGTATGCGAAAGATGGGAGGGCGATTCCCCATCTTTTTTGCAGAGGATGCACCACTGTTGGGACAGGACCATGAAGGGTAGTCTTCGCTGCAGTCTATCCGATGTGTTGATACCCTTATGGGCAAGTTCCCAAATGAAGAACTTGGTTCTTTTTG